GCTATCTACCCCAACCCCTCTCTTTCTATCGGCTTATCCGACTCGGGCCTCCAATCCGGCTCCCTTCATTGTCTTGTGGATCCATTCCTTATCTTTCGGGTTGACCGATTTCACTCAGTTCCAGTCCGTTTGCATTTCACTCCTGGCGCTATTTCTCAAGTGCCTAGAAGCACGCACATTGCCGCCTCACTGACCAGAGCGCCTAAGCCTTGATCGCCATGCTTGCAGATATCAGGCCTTCCCTTCACGGATTCTCTACCTTGAATAAACCCATGTTATCTAAGCAAACTGTGTGTCGCATGCGGTATCTTAAGTCGATTTCTTGTGTATTTTGGGCATAACGCCAAATTACCGTGATGGTTTGCTTATCCGTCTACCCAGCTCCCTGACTGCCAGGCCCCCAAAGTTGTAATCGTTTATTCTAAATGGACATAAGTCAGCTAACAAAATCATGGGATGCCTCATTAAGATCGCAAAGGCATAAGAAGTAGAATCTCAGTTAGCCACCTTTCTCGGTTTAGTGTTTTTGGTGATTTTTTCTCCAACCAAAAATCAAAAACTCATCAAAAGTTCGTTTCCTTCCAAACGAAATTCGCATGAGTTTTTCACTGTATTCGATAGTCTGGCATTCACTTTCTTTAATTTGAGCCAGATACATTTTGCCAATTTATGTGTTGTTCTATGTTTGTTGTTAGATATCAGTCTCAATGGTTCTCCTATGTGTATTTTCGGCTACTAAGGCTATTGAATCCTTTCGCATTATTAAATGCACTGACTATTTGTCGATTTCCCGGATCATATTCATTTCCTTCAGCACTTCTTTCAGTGCCCCTTTGCTTTTAACTGTTAACCCCTTTGCTAGCAATAGATAAGTTGTGGTGTCCCCGAGAATATTTTCATTTTCTCTGTATGTTCTTTCCTGTCCATCACCACTGTGGCACTTCCTTTGTCAGCTTGTGGGACTATTTAATCGTTTATTTTCAATTATCTTTTTATTTTAGTTATATTGTTCATTGATAAGCCAAAATTGTAAAGATGATTTGAATTTCCAGGTAGCTTCACAAAGGTTGTCTACTTTTCATTCCGAAGTGCAAAATTTAGTCCCTTCTTGAGTATCTATGTGGTTTCCAGAGGGACGGAAGACAGATTCCCCCTTTTATCTTTATCACTTGTCTGGACCGGAGATCCGTCATTCTGAAATCCTCTTCGTTTTTGTCGGGTGAATGGAACTTGGGCTGCCCAAATATCAATATTCATTCATCTGTAATTTCAGGAAATTTTCCGGGATGAGAATTTGATTCAATATCTAAAAACTTAAATTATTTTCCCCTCTCCCTATCATATATGCAAAATCTAGAAGGGATGCCATAACGAGTACAACAGTTAAGAAAGATAAAAGTACAAGATTGATTTACGATTACTTTCTTTGATCTGCTGTAATCAGTGCAATGAATGGCAATCTTACCATCGTGCTTAGACCACAGATCTGAGGACCAAGATGGTGTAGCCCCCTGTTTCGTCGCAGTCTCCTTTAGCTTTATAGCCTTGGTATGACCTGGTTTTCACAACTTGCCTGGAGCGTCAGGCAGACCTTGTGGAACGTACCTAGTCCTGCATTCTCTGTCATAGTATTTGTGGTTTCTAACATCGGACTATTAACTTAACACATTACCAGAGGTTTCGCCGGCATCGTCATGAAAGACGCAATCTTTAGCACAGAGTTACATCTTATCAAATTTATAATGGAAGGCAATCCCCTTGAACAATTTTCAGTTCAATTGTTGAGTCATCAATTCTCGCTCCTATTTTGAAACAGACCTCTCGGTCTGAATCTATTTCTATCAGCTCTACTCTAGATGGCAGGAGACTGCGACCAAACAAAAGGTTACACCATTTTGGTCTTCATATCTACCACCCACCTCATATGACCCATTACCTATTCACACCATTCCGTGCCCTCCTTTCCTTCAAGGTCGCCTAAAAGGGCTTCACTATAAGTGGATTTAGTGATACATAATCATATTTTCCATCGGGTTCATATGCCCTTTGCAGGGCTTCTGACTTGTATTTAGCCCCCACTTTCCAACCCCCTGTCTGGGTGTCTGAAATCTGGCTGTCTATGAGGCCCCAATTCCCGTCTCCGGTTAGGTTCTATTTGAGGATTTAAAGCCGATGATTCTCATGCATAGGCAGACTGTAAGCAAAAGGACATCGGAAAGGATAATCAGCACAAGTTTCAAAGTACACCAGCGACTATGGAGAAAAATGGATAGGGAAAGATCAGAAGTAGCCGAACAAATAATCCTTATCGGTCACACAATTGACTGGAGTGAAACGGAACGATTGGCCTCATATGGGGAGAACACCAGAAAATAGAAGATCAAGGCGGTTGTGGATATCCTCTTACAAAGAAACCTGATTAACAGGAGATTGGAAGAATAAAGAGTCAGTGATAAATTCGTGTACTATATTGGCAGACTTGGAGATTAAGCGAGGACAGAAAAAAGAAGGCACTTGGACTGAGGATATCTAGTCAAGAATAGGATCACGATGGACAAAGGGAAGTTGAGAAAAGGCGAATGCAGTAAGGGGAGTCAAAACTGGAATCAGCCGAAGTTACCGTTGTGGGTCCAACTGTGGGATATGAGATAGGAAATTAAAGGTCACAAATATGCAGATTATGCATTATTAGAGGTGCTAAGCTAAAGCTATAGGTCCCTTACAAATTCATCGAGGTGCGGAAACCAACCTAGCAAGCCCAAAATCACTTAATCCCGAATGCGTGTTCCTGTATGCCTTTTTTCGTGTATAGATACTTTACACATGCCTGATTAGGGAGGTTACCGACCAGCTCACGCAAGCACGACTATAAGTTTAGGATTAGGTGGGATTGTCAACTTGAGAGACAAGTGTGCCTTACTCGATTAATGAGAAAAAGGAAGCTTTGCATTTTCACATCAGCGGTGGGTATGAGAAAGAGGATAACTGGGTGATTAATCTGAAGCCTAAGGAGAAAAGGATGCCTATACATGAGAAGTATCGGCTTTAAATCCCAAAATATGACCTAATCAGGGACGGGAATTGAAGGTTAATATACAGCCAGACAGTGATTTTCATGTATAGCAGGAACCAATTAGCAAGCGGGGTGGAAGGTCATTACACTCTACTAAATACATTTATAGTAACACTTTTAAGTAGCATTGGAGGAAACGAGAGCACATAATGGAGTGAATAGGTAAATGGTCATATGAAGTGAGGTTGAGAGGAAGATGCAGCACTTGAAGGTAGGGCAAAGACCAGGGGAAAGGAGTGATGCCATAACGGTTGAAAAGAAAATTGGTCAGGGGATTGCCTTCACTTGCCACTTTTATAAGTTGTAACTCTGTCCAAACGATAACGCCTCTCATTGACGAAGCCGATTAAACGTCTGAGAATGTACCAAGTCAATGATCTAATGCTGGAAATCACGAAAATTATGGAAGGGGACGCAGGACTAGGTACGTTCCACAAGGTCTCTCTGTCGCTCCGACCAAGTTGTGAAAACGAGGTCAAAACAACACAATAGTCAAAACTTGGTGAGGACCTATATTTGGGACATGTGTGAATGCGAAGTTATAGGGCCCAAGAAGACAAGTGAAATGTGCAGTGTCTAAATACGAGTGTGTTAGAACGGACATTAGGCCCACTAAGGTGATGAACCTTATTGTGTAAAAGCAGATAAGTAGAAAGTGTGATTATAAGAACTAGAAGCAGACTACAAGAGCCGCTTTCTTTATCCAGGTGGAGCAAAATATCTTTTGAAGCATGTGGAAATGGTAAAACGGAGGGAAGTAAGCATGTATTAGCCTAATACGAATGATCAGATTAAATGACTTGAAGCCAGGCTAGTAGGTGCCCTCAAGGTATGCATAAACAATGGGACGTTAAGAAATAAAAAATAAATCTGCTTCTTCAAAAGAAATTGTGGAGCCCAACGTTTATGGTCTCGTATAGGCACAAAGGAACTTTTAGTTTTAAGGATAATGATTGACAAAGAAAGTATGCCAATGTTTTTCGATTTTTATGAGTAAAATAAATATGCCACAGAATATTGACTATATTACAGTATCAAACTACCATAAGAAAGACGAATTGGCCTTTTTTAAATTAGTACAATTATACATAAACTTCCAGTTATGGGAACCAACCAAGTTATAGCACAGTCTGAGAGAGGAGCCCCCTGAAAGTGGAAAGGAGGGCAGGTCCAAGCACTATTGATTTTAAAGAAAGATGACATCTAGCGACAACCTAAAAACACTCATATTCCTGTTAAAGAAGAGCCCATCTACCCTCTATCATTCCACCAATTGACATAGGGCAGAGGTATCCGTTACATGGAGCGTAATAAGCCAGATTTATCTTCGACTAGACAGTCTGTAAGCTGTTAAGCTGATTTATAAGTCTCCTTACCTGCTCCTCCAAAATCTCTACCTTCTCAGGCACTTGATGCCTACTAGAGTCATGCCGAATCACCGCTGAAAGCTTTGTAGAAAGCGATTCCAACTTCTGATCAGTCTTGCCGACGAGCTGTCTCACTCTGGCATCTGATTGAGAAATCAAGGTGCCCATTATGAACTCTCCATTGTGGCTGCCGGTGTCACTGCAACTGCGACTGCGACTCTTGACGAGGGCACTGAAGTGTTCTGGTTTTCGGCAACCGTTCTCATTACATTCTATACCATCGTCTTGAGGTTCATTGACCGACTGGCCAGTTTGGAGATCGCATCGATCGATAAGGTCCGCAGGTGACGTGGATCGGCCAAAATAAGCGCGCAGAGCCGACAGGTCATAATGGGCGGCATCACGCTCCGCCTGCAACACCGAAACCTGACGCTCCAATTGAGCTAGTCGAGAGTCCTCGGCCACAGACTGAACAGACCCGAAGCCATGTGATTCACCCATACGAGCATCAGGGCAAGATATTGCAGAAGCTTGCGTCATCGGCCATGTTGGTGGTGTGTGTGAGCATGAGCTAATAAGATAAGGAGCAATAGTCGCCGATTAAATGTCAGGGATTTAGGCAAAAAACAGTATGTATGGATGAAACTGGACTTCGAAGAATCCATTAGCTAAATTCAGTTAAAACTCCTACAGAAGTGAGCAGAAAACGAATGATCAGTAGATCAGTAAATGAGTACAGTGAATCTACTTTACACTTCGAAGAAAGGGTTCGTTGGATGTAATTCGTAAATTGAACCTACCGAAAACTGAAGAACTGGATTGTGCGAGGAAATCCTCGGCTCACCGTCCTGCGCGGCCGATGTAACCATGGTAAGCTTTCACCTATGATACGATAGATATCATCAGGGCAAGTAAGGATAATTGAATATATGAAGACCAAGATATTGTGGCCTCTAGTATGGTTGCAGTCTCCTTTCGATGGATAGAAGTGGGTTGACCTTGTTGTCGCAACTTGGTCTTGTTTTCAGGGAGACTATGTAGAAAGCACCTAGTCAGAAGTCATCTGCCATAGTAGTTA